TACAAACACACACACACACACAAACACACACACACACAGTTCAGACAGGAATCCCTAGGACTCAGGGGCTCCAATTCAGAATGCTGATTCAGGGCCTCCATCCTAGCTGAGAGTGGCCAGGCTCTCTCATCCGTGGGGTGACGTTGCTACATTGCTTCTGTTTGGGAAGCAGATGGGCATTCTCAGTGGCTCGGCTCTATCTCTGGGTATTGGCCATGTGGATCTGTTCCCAAATCCCTTTTCCATTTCAAAGCATTAACCCAGAAAAGGTGAAAATAGGATTGTCTCTCAGATGCTGGGCTTCCTGGAGGGGCAGCAGGCCATTCCCTCCCCACCCCCTTCCAGTGTGTGTCCCTATGTAGCCCCTAAACTTGGCCTGAAGCTTGTTCATTTTTTTCTCTCATGGACTCATTCTGCTGAGCACTGAGTGTGTTCTGGAACCTGGACAGACTCTGAACTGGTTTCCCTGTTGCCTTCTGAATGGTGACTTGGGAGAGGGCCGGCAGCAAGATCTGACCCCAGGACACCCTCTTCTGTTGAGTCTGCCTTTTGCCCCCATATACGTGGGGTCTTCCCAGCACTCTCCCTGAGTGTTGTATGTTTTCCTCACTGAGAAGCTCCAGCCTTTGCTTTTCTAACCAGGCTCTCAGGGGAGGAGAGTGGAGATGTGGATGTGAGGGAGTGTGCTGGTATTCAGAGGTAGTGCGGGAAGGGAGGAAATGTCCTTAGAGCACTGAGGTCAAACACGGTTCTGATGGCTCTGTTATAGTTTCTTTCTTTTTTTTTTTTAATAGAGGCATGTTTTTATTTATTTGTTTGTTTGTTTGTCTGTTTTTGTTTATACAAGCACTGGGTACAGTCAGAAGCGTGGGAGGGTGAGAGAACTCACCAGAGCCAGAGCGGGGAGCAGAACAGGCAGAAGGACCGAAGTACACTGCTGAGGGGAGCAGCGGGTGGCAGGAGAGGTCTGCGCACCATGCGGGACCCTCCTCCGGTGGCCGGGGAGCAGCTGGGGATCGAACTGGCGCTGCAGAGGCCGTGGGCAGCTTCGCAACCCAGCGCTCAACCTCTGCGCCACCGGGGAGGCCCTGCTATAGTTTCTTAATATGACATTAAGCAAGTTGCCTCACCTTCCTAGGCATGAAGCCCTCATAGCAGAATAAAGGAGTCCGATCTGATCATGTCCAAGATCTCACCGTTGTTAATTCTCCACAATTCTAAGTGTTGGTATAGAGCTGCCACTTGCCTATAATGGCTTTGGGAAAGGAAGGCGCCCTGATCCCTCGTGAGGATAAGAAGGTACCCCTCCTGAGTGGGGTGCCTTGTGCCTCTTTATTTAGAGCAAAGGCCCTTCCAGGGGATCTTTTGCTTTTACCCTATTAGATAAGAATATGGTAGCCACTAATCTGTAGCTACTTAAACTAATTGACATGATATCACATTAAAAGCAGTTCTCCAGACTCACCAGCTGCTTTTCAAGCATCAATAGTCACAGGACCATCCCTGTAGAATGCACCCCGAACCATGCCACTGTGGGAGTCAGCCCCAGCCTGCACCCCTGATTCTCAGAGGAGAATGGACATCATGCCTAGCTCGGGAAGCTGGGTGTTGATGTCAATTGTGTTTTGACACTTGGAGAAAACTTTGTCCTTACGTAGTTCTTTATGTCTGAGATGGGAGGGAGGTGCAATTTTTCACTGATTATAGCTGCTGTGACCTCAGCTCATTTAATTTCTGCCTGGGCCTTGGGGGTGGCTGACTGCCCGCCCACACGGATCCTGGAAGTCGCCCAGATATCTGTGTGAGGATCTGTCCTTCTGAACCCTCATTTGAGAGGGGCCCAAAGGAAATGTCTTCTGCCCACACCTGCCAGAGAGAGGGGCTGTGCCTGTGGCCTTCCCTGGGAGTCCTCTGCTTCCCTCAAAGATCCACTGAGGCCTCGGGCTGGGAGAGTTCTTATGCTGGGGACTTCATAATAAATACTTAGCCTCAGAGCTCTTGCCTGCCTCAAAAAACCTCAGCCCAGGCTTGGGGGGGCAAGGCATGCACAACCGAGAGGTCCTGGGTTGCTGTAAAGTTGGGGACAGTGCAGAGGCTAGCGCAGGCTCCCTAGTGGACAGAGCTGGTAGGACCCTGGGAAACATGTAATGGTGATTTTGGGGTGGGCTGTCTCAGCTCCCACTCCACCTTGCCCTGCACACTGACGCACTGCAGCTGTCTTTGGAGACCCCACCATAGCTCTGGATTGCAGATTGGAGGCCCCTGGGAAGCCTGACTGTTCCCCTCTACAAAGCACTTAGCAGCATAAGCCTTGGTCTGGTAGGACCCACAAAGGGCCTCCAGGGAAGCAGCTGATATTTCATCTAGACCCCAAGTGGGGGCTCTTTGGTGGACAGAAGCTTGAGCGAAAAGGAGCTTTCCTTCCCTTCACTAAGATTTGGGTGCCTCTACTAGCCCCCAACACTCATTCAGTACAAACTGAGGCCATTATCCATCTGAGAAAACCCACATCAGTCAGGTAAATACACAAGGTGTATCTCATTGTTCCAGATCAGTGATTTGGGACTAATCAGCTGTTGAAGTCACATCCATTCACGGAAGGAACCCTGGTGGGAACCGACCACCTAAGGGATAGTACCTGCTCCAGAATCCAAGGCTCTGAAGCTTGGGCATCAGTTGCAACCGTCTGTGGTTCAATCTTCCATCTAAAGATTTATTTATACAGGAATCAGGGTACAGGTCAGTGGCTCGGGAGGGTGAGAGAATTCACCAGAGACAGAGCGGGGAACAGAACAGGCAGATGGACCAAAGACACTGCTGAAGGGAGCAGCCGGCGAGACAGGAGAGGTCTGCCTCGGCATGTGGGTTTCTCTCTGGCTGGCCGGGAATAGAACCCGCACTGCAGAGGCTGTGGACAGCTTCACAGCACGGCGCTCAACTCACTGCACCACCGGGGAGGCCCTCAATCTTCCATCTATAAAGCTGTGATATGAAGGACCTCTTAGGGCTGCTGATGAGCACACGCCTTGTATTGCCATTTGATGCGTAACAGCCATCCTATCTGTGGGCCTCAAGGTCTCCCAGAGAGGGAGACCAGAGGCAGGGCCAGAGGGTCCCATCATCAAGGTCTTTCTCTCCATGGTCACCGTCATTAGTCACCAGAGGAAACAAGGCAAAGGATGAGCAGAGTCTCTTCCATCGCAGAAAGGACTAGACCAACTTGATCTCCTCCCTTCTCAACTGTGTGGTCCTGCCCTCGTCTGCCCCTCTCTGAATAGGATCAGGATTCACCAAGTTGCTTGAGCCAAAAACCAGGGCTGCATCTTAACTTTAACCTTTCCTTCCTTTGCATGTGGGCCAACCGCATGTTGTGCCAATTTCAACTGCTTGACTGGGATCACTTAAATCTGACCACTAGCCTAGCTTCAGGCTGGCTAGTAACACCTCCTCTGTGACATCTTTCCTGCTCCACCTTCTTCTCTCTGGCATCACAAGGCCTTGGTTTCCATGAATATTTTCTGAACTGAGAGTTTAGGTTGGTGCTAAACCAAGATGGCGGCTGGATTATGTCCTTGCTACCCGAAAGGATGAAGGGGGCTCTTCCTTTGTCACCTCCTATTAGGTTTAAGAGATGGGGAGGCCTGCTGGGGGCACTTCCGTTGGCCTGATGAACTCTGGAACAAACCTCTGTATCCCTTTGGCGCTACAATCAGTGCAGCTAAAATCCTTCCCAGACACTGCTTTCTTCCTTGGTGGGGGAAAAAAAAAATGGAAAGAGAAAGGAAAAAGCTCAGAATCCCTTTGTAGGGTAAGGTAAAAAGCGTCAGGCTTTTCTGCCATCCTGCCATTAGGACAGATGACGGAACCCTGCAGTCCCGAATGCATGCCTGATGGCGGGCACCTGGAATAGGGTGTGGGCATATGTAGATGGGATCCACCTGGGCTAAGACTGGGCTTTTAAGGGCAGTGTCACGGAAATGCCAGCAGAGAGAGAACCATGAGAGAGAAGCAGAGAAGCATAAAGAACTAATGGAGAAGAACCACAAGAGAAGCAGAGAGAACACGAGAGCAGCAGAGATCACCGGAGAGCCCAGACAGAGTGAAGACTTGCTGCTGTGTACCTGGTAAATCCCAATAAAAGCCTGCAAAGCCACTGAGGCTCCAGGACTCTCTCCTCCTTTACCAGGTCTGTTGGATCCAAAAACCTGCTCTGTGCCCTTTCCTGCCCCTTATACACTTCAACCCCAAAGACCTAGGGACAATTAGGAACATGTCCATAAGGCATGGCCACTGAAGAGAAAAAAAGCCTTGGAGAGAGAGAGGAAGTACAAGGACTCAGGTCAGGGAGACTTGAGAAGGTGTGTGGGTCTCTCTCTGCTCTGAGCCCCAGGCCTCACTGTTATAGGACAGGGAGAGGGGCAGCCCAAGCCCCGCAAACCTGCCTATTCTAAATGGGTTCTGCCATCCGCCGCATCAACACAAAACATAGGAGACTTTAATGGGAAGGAACTTTAATTAGGAAACAATACAGGAAAGGCAAAGAATCTAGTTTCTAAATGAAGCACCCAAAGTTACCCGTCCCCTCGTGGGTAAAAGTCCATCCATATGGGATCGGCCCAGAACAAGGCCCCAAGGCCTGCCACAAGTCTAAAGCATCTTCCAGTGGGGACCCACAGAAAAGGGTCACAAACAACCGGACAAGTCTGGAAGGAAAAGAGCAAAATCAACATCAAGATAAAAGCTGCCATTGTCACCTCCCCACGGGTCTCACCCACATCTGTGTCATCCAGTCCACGACCAAAAGACAAGCACAGTTTCTTCACGTGTCTCTAGGCTCCATGCGCCTCTTCCAGGTCTCCTGGCTCCATCCTGCTTCCTTCCTCAGTCTCTTCTGCTTCTCCTCCTCCTGCTCAGCTCCACCCTCCTTTGGGTGGGGCAGGGAACCTCCCCCTTTCCTGGGGACCACCCTGTTACATCACCTGTGCAAGGAGATGGTGGCACCTGTGTGGCTCCCAAGCTAAACAGTATCTGAGGGATTCCCTGAAATAGGAAATAGGACAGCTGGGAATGTTCATTCTTCATCTTATGCATCGGGAGAACCCCAGGTTAGTCTCCTACCTTCTCTCTGATCATTAATATCCCAGTGGATCAAATTCCTCCACCCCACTCTCTTGGAGGTTTTTTTCTAGAGCCTTCTCTTGGGCAGGCTGGCTCCCTTTTAGTTTGTCTCCTGTGGTGTAAGCATTTCCCCCAAGAGCCCAGCTAGCTTGGCTTCAGCTGGGGAATGGGGAAGAGTGTGTGTTTGGAGGGTGGAGGGCTGGGCTGGGAGGCTGGGGGTCGCAAGCTGCCTTGTGGCTGCTCGGAGGGGTCTGGCGGAGCCCCAGCCCCTGGCTGTGACATACAGCCCCCTTCATGAAACCAGACAGAATTAAGCCTTTTGTTTCCTGTTTGCTAGGCCGGCTTAAAGAAAACACAGAGGGTCCCTGCGGCTGGGGCTCTCAACAAGACGGCCTTTGTATTCATTTAATTAATCAGTTAGCTGAGGGAAAGGAGAGGAGGGAAGTTCATGTTATAAATACATGTTTTTCTTTGGCTTTTTTTCCCCCAAAAGACAGGCCCTGAATGGCATCCCTGAGAGAGCCCCCCATGTCACCCCAGACATGCTAGGGGCCAGGGGCCTGCCAGGCTGCAGCTGTGACACCACTAGTCCCCACCCCCACTCCTTCAAGGCGCATGAGGCCAGATCTCTCTGGGTCCTGGGGAAATGTTAAATGTTGATGGGAATAAGAGCAGTGGGGAGTAGTCACTAGGCTCTGGGCCCCATTTCTCCCCTTGTCACCTTTTCCTACAAACCCTGCAAATTCCTACACCCTCGATGGATGAGGTGGCTGCACCACCACATGTCAGGGAGGGCTGGGAACTCACCAGGTGCACGGTGGGGGAGAAGTCCTCCCTTAGGGCGGCATAGTCTTGATGCTCCCTGCTTACCCTCCCCTTACCCCTGGAGTCACCCCAACTCTACAGTGAGGGGCCTGGACAGACACTCACCAAACCACCTAGGCAGACAGACACTGGCATCTCCTGGTACCCTCCAAGCCTCCTCTTCACTTTTTTTTTTTTAAGATTAATTTTATTTATACAAGAACCAGGGTACAGGCCAGATTTGTGGGAGGGTGAGAGGATTCACCAGAGACAGAGTGGGGAACAGAACAGGCAGACTGACGAAATACACTGCTGAGGGGAGCAGCACTGTCCTCTTGGACAGATACCCTCCACCCGCTTACATCTTCTGGTGATTTTCTAAAGCTTCCTATGATGATGCCATTTGCACAAATTCTTTTTTCTTTCTTTCTAGAGATGAGCAAATTCACTTACTGTTCTCTCCACCTCTCCTGTCCCCCACCTCACCACCAGCTGCCAGGTGTTTTTAGAGTTTTAAAAACCTTTCATTATGAGGTAAAATATTTGCAATCCCTAAATATATGGCCCTCGTAATGGAATTTCACTGTGGTAAGTTTTTCCTCACAAGCTCTTCATCTCAGGTCTTAGCCGGCACACTTTGGTATCTGGAAACCATGACCCCAGGGCTTCCATACACACTGCCCAGAAAATCCCCAGATCTGCCTCAGAGCTAAAGCTTGGACCCTGACTCTGGTCTTTGAATTTTTCATGTGTCCCATTAGGACCAGGCCAATATCCCTTCCGCAGGAACGGAATGGCAGGGCTTCATTTTCTCCTTCCATCACTAAGGAAATCCTTCCTCTCACAACTGCTGAGCGAGGCCTTCCAGATACCCTCCCTCTAGGATTTTGGGGGCACAGTCAAGCTAGACTGAGGTCTGGGTGAGTTGTCTTTATCTAATATCTAACCAGCAAGTCGTCCAGAGTCATGTGTGACATAGGTCAGCAACTTGTTGTGAGGCTGACTGGGGTATGTATGTCCCCTGAATCCACAAATGAAGCTCAGGACACCATTTCTGTGCCATCTCACGGGTAAACTTGTGTCAACCATTTTCTTCCTTTCCCCATACCAGTGCCTCCACTTCATCCTCTGAGGAGGCGAAGAACAACCCATTTGGGTCCCTCAGCTCAGAGGATAGGTCGTCAGTTCGGGGATGATAAACTCCAGGCTGCTCTTTTGGGGCTCCTGGGACTGCCTTTCACCAGTGATCCGTGGATGGGGGTTGGCAAGGAGAGAGAGGTAGGACCCCTTGGAATGTCTCATTTTCAAAGTTATTTGAGTCATAGAGACTATGAAACGTGAAAGAATCCTGGGGGTCAGGAGGACGGGGAGGAGCAAGACTTGCTCTGTTCTGAGAAGAGCAAGTTTAGAAAATGGCTTGGTGGTGGGCAGGCTGAGTGGAGCCCTGGCTTTGCTCCCCAGAATATTGGATCACCAAAGAACCACTAAACCATGTTTCTCAATGTTCATGTACATAAGTCACCTGGGTATCTTGTTAAAATACAGATTCTAAATCAGTTAGTCTAGGTGGGGCTGATGCAGCTGGTCTATGGGTCCCACTGTGAGCCCAAGGGGCTAGTGGATTAATCAATGCTCTTGTGCTAAGGAAAAGGGTGCTGGTCTGTGGCTCCAGCTACTACTTTATTTTTTAAAAACATTTATTTATTTATGCATACAAGAACTGGGGTGTAGGCCAGAGGTGTGGGTGGGTGAGAGGATTCAGCAGAGATAGAGCGGGGAAACAGAACAGGCAGACCTACTGAAACACACTGTTGAGGGGAGCAGCAGGGAGACAAGAGAGGTCTGCCATGCCATGTGGGTCAGTTCCCCGGTCGGGGATCAAATTCGTGCTGCAATGATTGATGATGGCTTCATAGTGCTGAGACTTACCCCCTGTGCCACCAGGGAGGCCCGAATTTCCCAATTTTATCAATGAAATCTCTTGGGATGGCTGACCACGCTAGTTCCAGACCTTTCCTCCAAGTGTATGTGCCTTTAAGGCACTCGCCTGTCTTTTCTTGGGCCTTCACCCTGTTAGATCACCTCTGTTTTGGAGGTTGAGTGAAGTGGGCACATGTGGAAGTGTGAAGGCACTCCCCAAATTATATAGTTATGTGAACGACTCAAAAATTAGTAAGATTTGAGAAAAACCCTGTTTCAAAAAAGAAAATAGAATGTAAATTAGCCCCACTCTTGGTCAGATGGCCGTCTCTCAATGACCTCCAGTAAACCTCCTTGAGGTCTTCATTGTCCTTCTCCCCACTCTGCTTGGCCTTTTCTCCACTGTGATCCTCTCCTCACTCCTCAAGCCTGGCTGAAGAGACCTACCGCTTCTCCAGGGCCTCTGCCTGTGCTGGGCTCCAGGCCACCTGTGCTCACTTGGGCTGCCCGGTGCAATGGTGGATGCGTAGGGTGATGGTACCCAGGAGGGAACTGCACACTTTGCATATAGAGAACCCATCTCAAAGACTAGACTCAAGCTCTTGGAGCATGGGGACCGTGTCTGACCCTTCTTGATGTCCTGGGCATGCCTGACATCCAGGAGTTGTTAATTCTTGGCAGATGGGGGCTTGTCCTGTGTGCTACCTATTCGCATAGCTCAGTATCGCGCCCGGCACATGGTCATGCTCCGTAGGTGCTCATTACGTGTTCATTAGGTGTTGCTCCTTGAAAGAAGGTATGAGCTGGAAGATGCTCAATGAATATTTTCATGGATATTCTTTGCCATCTGAGTTCTTGGACTTTTATTTTTGTATCTGTTCTGTTTGGTTCATAATAGGGCTGAATGTTTTATTTTTGATAAAAGCCTATTATTGGGCATGAGGTCACTTGCAGAGAGAACTGGGGTGGAGGGGTGAGCTCCTCGTGAAAGATCCACATGAACTCCAGGGTCTGGGTCCCCCTCACTCCACCACCTGGCCCAAGGGAGCTCCAGATGCCCTTTAGACCACTGAGAAAAATCAGGGCAGTCTGGGTTTCCACGTCCAGCAGGCTTGAGTGGGGGCAAAGAGTGATATTTTTGGCTTTATGCGGACTTTGTGGCTTCTGATCTGAATCCAGAAATTTAATTCTATTTTTCTTATTACATAAAGTACAAATTTATTTCAAAGCCATTAGGTGAGTCTTTTGCTGGCGGCATGAGGGGGCAAAAATGAAGGATAAACAGAGACTGTGTTATGATCCTTTGAGCCCAGAAGCAGCCCCGACTTTCAATTCAAGGGTCTTCCTTTTTCTCACCATGTGTCCCATCCAATGCAAGCACTTCAGCCCAACCTCAGCTTCCTGAGATGACATTAAATTAAATCACCATACATTTATTGGGCACTTACGATTATACAAGGCATTTAGAAAAACAAAAATGCAAGTGAAACCTAGTCACTAAGTTCCATCTTCAAAGATGGAACTTTTTTTCCTCTAATTGGGGAGGCAGTTGGTGAAAAGAAAAGTAACAAAAGATGAGTTAAATAATAATGAAGATTACAATGTAGGAGAGGTCACAGGAAGGAACAGGATTAATTAATTACTAACTGAGTGGCACAGATTCTGTGCGCTGAGGGATTTCTGGGAAGAGAGATGGAAAGCGATAGCTGGCTTCTGGGGTGATTCAGAAACGACGGGGCTAGGGCCTTGGTTTGGTGGGGTTGAGTAAACTGAGGAAGATGGGGTTCAGTTCAGTTCAGAAGATATAGGGCTCCCCCCATGTTCCAGGTATCGTGTTATACTGCCTAGATGCAGAGACCCCACTCCACCCTTGAGGTGCCTGCAATCTGGAGGGGAAATATGGAAGGAAACTTCAGGGCAGGTGACCGTGGGAGCACTGTGGAGAGGCCAGGCTGACCGGGAGGTTGGAAGGAAACATTTCTTTCTTTCTTTTTTTTTTTTTAAAGATTTATTTATTTATGCATACAAGAGCTGGGGTGTAGACCAGAGGTGTGGGGGTGAGAGGAGTCACCAGAGAGAATGGGGAGTAGAACAGGCGAATCCACTGAAACACACTGCTGAGGGGAGTAGCGGGCGGGCGAGACAGGAGAGGTCTGCTGCGCCATGTGGGTGAGTTCCCTGGCCGGTTGGGGAATGGAACTTGTGCTGCAGTGGCTGGCAATAGCTTGATAGTGCTGCCTTTAAGTCCTGCGCCACTCAGGAG